ACATGTATTAAATTGATTTGGTTCTATCTTTTTTTATTTCCCTAAAAAGTGAAATGTACATATCCCCACCACCTATTTGTTTTTCAGCATCTAATGAAAATAAATCAAGGCATTTAGGCTTCAAAGTATGTGTTTTATTCACCAAATATTCAGAATTTGTGTGATAATTTCAAGTAATAATGGCAATTTTGTTAAGAAAAGCTTTTTATGAACAAAAAGTAATTATTTTACACATAAAACTTCATAATAGTTCGTTAGATGTCCTCTTCTACTCTTGCCCTGAGGGTTCTGGATTGAGTTCTGGTTTGTGGTGTTGGATTGTGGCTTCCCTGGGATTAGTCAAATCTAGTCCCACTTTCTCAAACTGATTTGCATGGTTTTCTCCATCCGATTTTAGTGGTTTTAAAAACCTGCTCTCTTCTGAAGTTCTTCATTTGTGATTCTTGTGACAACAAGACTTACCTGAAAAAAATTATTTTAGAAAAAAAAAAGATAATAATTACCCGGTACTGGTAATGTCATTGTTCAAAATATGTAAAATCATTATTTTGTCTATCTGACTTTATGAACCCAAGCCTGTAGTTTAGAATCAAATAATTTCTACATATTATATGATGTTTCAGAAATATTCCATTTTTTAACCCACATAGGCTGCCATAGAATGAAGCGACCTAGTTTCTTGTCGAATGTAAACAGCTAAAAATTATAAATGTTATCTTATTATTTCGTATAGTATGTCGATAAATTTGGGATAGATATTATGCATTTACAATATCAAAGGAAATTTATCATATACTACGAGCTAAAGTTGCAATAAAAAGGATAATGCGAATGCTGTCGTCTGCACGAATCTGAAGACCCCTTATGCATAACGTTCCGTACATGTATATGTAACGTTTATGCTATGTTTCAGTTTGCGATGTGACAGTATACTAGGTATTTTGAAACTTTTGTATCTATAATGCATAAACATTGCTATTTCAATAAGTTTGAAAGCATTGGTAACCTACATTTTCGCTTTTCCACTGCTACTGGAACGTTGTCAACACACTTCAGCGCTCTTGGCTGGCATGTTTGGGGCACCGCTTTCGAGAATGTACATGACCTGATTGCAATATCGGAGATTTTTTTTATGTTTTAAAATTTCTGTCGGTTGGCTCATTTAACGAAGTGCTATTGGGCATTCCTGTCGCTTTGAAACGGGAGATCCCGTCTTCTTCCCCTCTCGGTGACGTCGATTTCACTTGTTGACTTTCTTTGGCCTATGTCGTAAATATTGTAATTTTGCACACGTCTTGGTCATCAATACAACACAAAAATATTTTTTATATTTAAAATATAGTTGAACAGGTAACTCTTAAAAACTTTACCAACTTGTTTGTAAATTGTTGTCAGTTTTAATTTTACGACATGTTTAAGTACGAAGACCTACTTGGGATAAAATGATCACCAGATTACATCCTTAAACCCTTTTCACAGTTAAATGGTGACAACTCCACAACAATTAATACAAAGTTTCTGTAGGCCTCAATTGCTTTGGTGTGCGCAAACGCTACTCCGGCCGGCCTTTTCAGTGTCTGCAACAACATATCATGAATAGGACCTCCAACGCTATGCAAAATTCAAAGGAAAATCAAGGAATAGGAACCAAATATGCAAATATTTAAACTTAAATATTGGATTAGGTTGGTGGCCTATTTCAGACCGATGCAAAAAATTCTTACAAATATTGTCATAGAAACGGACCAATGTTGTTGTTGTTTGAGGATACATTACAAATTCCTTTGTTTTGTTTGGAAGAATTTAACCCCCCTTCACCACCTTGGATATCTCAACAACTGAAATTCAAATTTTTGATGATCATTAGAAAGACCCTATTTAAATATTTGTAAAAATGGAAAAATTAATTTGAGAATATTTAGCTGAAAATGTGTCCATGTCTCTTTAAATGTTACATTTCCCATGAAGGGTTAAACCAAGCATTGCAAATAGCATGAAGTTGGAATTAGACTATAGTTTTGATAAATAATGTTACCATTGTAATTTCCTACACTTCTTGACATTAATAAGGAGTATTTAAAAGAAGACATTACCAGTATTACTATTGTACTGACAGCCTGACCCCCCGGACTGCCATCCTACAGAGAAACTGTATTCCAGTTGGTCTGCTGTAGCATTCATTTCTTCTTCTCTTCCCATTTGACAAAACTCCTTGGCCTGGCAAACAATGGACGATGAGATTTCTTTATCCTTCTTCTAATCCTCACAGTGGTGGTCTCAATAGGTGGAATGTTGCAGGTGCTAAGAAAATTTACAACATGGGTTAATCCCATACCAGAATGTACCATTGCTGAAAAAATAAGTAAAAGCAAATTTATAGCTGATTGGAAACCATTTTTACCAGTTTTTCTTATAATAAGAGATATGCAGTACATAGGGTTTGAACGGCCCAACTACCTTATACTTTTAAATTTAATTACCGTTCCAGGCAAATCAGAGATCGATATCCACAAGTTCAATGTTAAAACTTGCATGGAGTTTTAATACACACCAACTTTGATTTTCAATTGCAAGAGCATGTAAAGCTATATCATTTTTCATAAAATTTGGTATGGCAAACACTTGGAGTATAGCGTTGCAAGTGATCCATCCATATTGAAAATAATATCAAAAAAGAAAATATTTGATTGATTGATTGTATCTTATTTAACGTCCCTCGCGAGAATTTTTCACTCATATTAACTTGTCGGTGGAGAGCTACAAATTTTGACCAATACTCGGCACTTAGGGCCATTGAGCAGTGAGGGATCTTTTTCGTGCCAGCACCTACTGCGACGTGGGACCTCGCTTTTAAGTCTTTTCCGAAGGACCGGTCTCCATGTCCCAAAGTGGGATTCGAATCCGCGAAAATGTTTGAGGAACATGAAGACAGCTGGGGCATAACCCATATCAGTGGTTCCGAGTTTGTAGTACTAGATCTTGATTTTCCTTTCTGTCGGTTAATTCAAATTCGTTTGAAACTCCGTGAAATGAATTCCCTGCAACCATATTTATTGTGTTGTCAGTCTTCCGAGGTGTCAACTTACGGACAGTGCAACACTAGAAGCGCATCGCACTTGCAAATAAAAAGAAATCTTTTGTCAAACTCCATCTACTGCTTCAACAATCCGAGATTACTTCAAATGATCGTAATGTGTCAAGGATTAATCTATTTTTGATCTAACAATGATCAAATGTGAGTAACACTTCCTTAGTGAGTATATCACATGAGTACGTCTTTCCTATCAGTAACTAACAAAAACAAATAAAACATAATCCTTCTTAGATATTTCATATGCACTTTTGTTTCGTTTATTACACAAAAAAGTATCCATGCAAAGTCATATTGTTTTCTGGTTGATCATCTCCATCAAGACAGTATGACAGCTTGATGTCTTTTTAGATTCCGTTATTTTCCTATGTTTTCTAGAAAGAACTACAGGACTAAACTAATTTTCTTGTTTAGAGGATGATTTCTTTTATCTTCTGTCAGCAGTTCTGTAGGTCTTGCCAATCTAACTGGAACAGAAACAAGCATCGAAAATAAAATAGGAATCCAAGTTTGAGTTTGTCACAGGGAAGTACGAAAAGAGGGTTTTCGACCTTTTTAATGCTGATATACACTTCTGTTTAATGCTGCCTTACTTCTTTATAAAATTGCAACATATACATTTTTGCTACTATTAGTTCATTTAAACTATACTCAGTGAAAATAAAAATTATTGTACTTTGAACCCTTAAAACTTAAAGGATGGAAATACATTAAGAGCATGTCTACGAGAAAACCATGCAAAAGGTTATGGGAGCAAGGTTCTCTGATCAACTTCATATTTTGTGTGTAAATTTCTTCTATAATATGAAATATTTTGCCACAAAATTTTTTTCAGTGTGGTCTCACTTAAGGGAGTAAATCGACATTGTTACTAAAAATAGAATTCTTGGTCCTTACACAGGTTGAAAACAGGAATTTTATAGGATTTTATATTCAAAAATTCTGCATTTTATTTAATAATGATATAAAATATCCCTATATGGTTGAAAGTAACAAGATACACTTGTTTCGGAAAATTTTTCATAATCACAAACTTTTCCCCCGTTTAAGTGCAAAAAGGTCACAAATCTGGCATATTTCCAGATTTTTGAAAACTGGTGAAAATACTCACTTTTCCAAAACCTATAACTCAGAAAGTGACGCTTAGAATTAACTCAATCATATACCAATTATTAGACAACATGTCTTTCTACATTATATAAAAAATCTGTCTTTGGACTCTCAAATTTTTGGCTGTACTTTTTACTTCAAGTTGTACATTTTTTTTTTCAATTTTTCAAATTATCTCATCCTTGAACTTCAGCAAGGAGTTTTTTGCTTAGTTAAATATTTTCAAAAATTTAAATTTTGCTTTTGAAAAATACCAGTATGTAGTACATTTTTGTTCTTAATCAATTTAATTATTTCTTAGGGGTTAAATGGGGTTAATGGGGGGGGGGGTTTACCTGAACTGTATTATTTTACAGTGCTTTGAAAAGGGTGATATTCACATACTGCTTAGCACTGTTTGTCAGTCAATAGACCAAGTGTGTTCTCTCTAATCTTAGAAGAAAAAAATAAATTTGCTCAATAGAAAATAAACACAGTACTACAGTACACTGGTACTTACAAATAAGTAGATGGCCCCTTTTAGTTTGGAGTTCACAAGGTCAAAGGTCAAGGGTTACAATTCTCTAGATATACCAGAATGTAGATTTTAATCATTCAAAATCTTGAGGACCCATTGCTTCACAGACATCAAATTTAGTATACTGGTTTCTTGAAAAGTAGAGAACCCCTCTAGATTTTGAGGTCATAATGTCAAAGGTCATAAGTCAAACTGAACAAAAAGGAATATCAGAGCCATTTTCTTGACAGAAATATTGTCATGGCAACAAACTCAAAATGAATGAACACCATGTTTTTAAAATCAACAAATTAGGACATTTCTAATTTTTAATTTCATTGCAGATTAAAATTTGAATATTACTCAATAACTAACAACAAAAAAAATTACAATGCTTGACTGCTTCCTGATATTTTATATTCACTTCCAAAATTAAAATGACCTTAAAATTTTGTATGCTTGAAAAAATTCTACTTGCTTAAGTATACATCATTATTCTAAATTAAGATAAGATTTAAAAGAAAAAAGTCACAGCTTCCCAAGTCATATTATGAATTATTTGCTATACCTGTATACAGGAAATTAGTCTTTATAATTGTGTTATATTTGGTAAAACAAAAGCACTGTTGACCTTGATCTTTGACCTTATCTAACAAAACAAACACTGAAAATTTACTCTGAATTTTTGTGTATTCCTGCAAGTGAACCTGATACATGTTTAATATTAAGATGTTAACAATGTTGAAGTACATGTACCAATAAAATCGTACAAGTTAATATATATGAAATACCCTGAAATATTGGTCACTACGCAAGCTTCTTCAATTATAAACTGTCTTTTTTTCTTCATGTTCGGTACACCATTTGGGTTGATCTTGAGGTCTCAAGCTTTCAAAATCTATAAGGTGTATCCAAACTATTCTGTTCAGTATGACCCCATTTTCTTCCTATGTAGCATCCAATAAGTTCTGGAGAAAATTTAACAAGCACTGAAATTTCCACTCCTGGTTTAAAGAACAACTGGACTGTCTCCAAATACACAAGAGTAGTATTCAAAGCATGTACCTGTGAAAAGGACAGTTTTCAGATTAAATTGAAATAAACCATACTTGACATATTCTAAGATTTTTTAAATAAATGTCATGTTTATGATAATGCTACATTTATATTTTCCAATTTAAGAAAATGTCATCAAATGACTTGGGTAAGATTATTCACAAATTCTTCTGGCTATCTTTGAAAAAAAACAAGAGCCTCTTATCTTCTTGAAGTAAAGTAACAGAATAGGGAAAAATGCATGCAGCAAATTGACAGACAGACAAGGCAATTCCTATACTATAGTATTATACTATTATCTTTACCATTTTCTCAGCAGTGGCAAGTAATTGGTCATGCTCATGCTGCAACTGCATTGTCCCTCCTCTTCTTATTTCTGGATTCTGTTCACAAAATTACATTGGAAACCCTACATAGTAATTCTTTATAGCTCAACAGCTGAAAATCCCATTGTAAAGCCCAGCCCTATCCAAGGAAATGAATATGAATAATCTGAAATTGCACGAGAAATATAAGAATGAAATGAAATTTTCTTTACAAAGTACAAATTCCCAGTCTTATATTTATAATATCAGTTGCTTTAAACACAAACCTGTCAAGGAACACATGGTGCCCTTTGAATTTGAAAAGTCTGCAGTCTGCACAAGTATTTGACAACTCTTTTTCCCAAATAAATGTGATCTTCCATAAAGAAAATTCTACTATTCCATGAAGCCAAAAATCATAATGTAGCTACTTTCATGACATCTCATAAATATCTGAAAAAAATATTGTGTTTAATGAGATTCTTTATAATCATGCATCCTGCATATGAGGCAATTATGGTGATTTAACTGACAGTGAAGACCCACCTATCCAATTCTTAATTTACCCTATTAGTAAACAGTCTTTGAAAACCCTGGACCTATTCAAATTTTCCTTCCCTCTTCATAACCCCACAAAGGCTACTTAGATCTCTATGCTATTTATAATTCAGCAGATGTGAATATGTTGCATACATGTATGTATTTTGCAATATTGTTGAATTTATACAGATATTTTTATTGCTTCATGTACATGTACCAACCTTAAATTTCTCTTGACATGTTTGCTAGGTATATATTCAGGTCCAGTACAATCACTAGATTTAGCTACGTAGGTAGATTTTTTTTCATAGAAATAAATAACTTTGGTAGCTAAATAAAACTACTTCAGGTAGCTAAATAAAGCTAAAGTAGGTAAATCAAGCTACGTAGCAAAATCTAGTGATTGTACCAGACCTGATATTGTCTTGTAAAAAATCTTCTCTCGTATTTAATCAAGTCCCCATCAACATTGTTTATTTATTTATTTTTTACATATCAATAAGCCTTTTTATAATGTACATAGTATTTTAAACCAAGATCCAACTACATGTACCTGTTTCACTTTCAAATTCAAACGGTGTTGATTCGGTATCATCATCACTACATCCATCTCGCTACGAAATGAATGTTCGCTGTCAGAATCATAGTACAAAACGTCGCAGGAAGCCATAATGTTTACACGTGGTTACGGAACCGTACATCGATCCCGATGGATTTCATAACATTCTATGGCTACTAGCACATGATATGTAACAAATTAAATTCACAGGAAGGACAATTTTCTTAAAACCAAACATAATGTATGCCTAAAACGATTAAATGACAGACGTCTCTTCATAAACATAATCATTATCTACCTTCTCTACAAAAGAGTGCAACAGGGGAGATAATTCTTACAAAATCTAAAATAACTGTAAAATACGTTTTTTTTTCACATAAAAAGCAGGGGGAAATTGATTTATAGCTTGTATAAAATTAAAAATAATTTTTATTGTTTATATTTGTAAATACATTGCACAAAATACATTTAAATTACTGTAAAAGTTAAACTTATAAAATCACCATTTTTTCCATCATTTGAATTTGAGATGTTTTTATTACGATGTAACTTTTATGTCCTTGAGAGTCCAAAGGTGGATTTTATATATTGTTGAGATAATATCTTAGAGATTTTTAAATGAACAAAATTTTGAAAAAAGAAGGGTCACTTTTTAAGAAATATATCCTTGAATATTGACAAAAAATGAATCATTATCATTTCTTGGCACCATGCCAATATTTGTGCTCTTGGGGCAGCCTTTGATACAGGGGTATTACAAAATTTTGATTCCAACTTGATCTTATGACTCAGTTCTGTGAGAGAACATTGCCCTTTTTTAAATATATTTTTTTTTTCTTTTTTACTTTTAAATATAAAAATGGTCGTTTTTTCACAATTTTTTTTGCATTTTCCCTTGAATATTGACCAAAATGAATTATTGGCTGTTACTAAAAATAGAAACAACCGATGCAAAAATAAACAACATATTTCTGACTCTCAATGGGTGTCCTTTAAGTTAATAATAAAAATTAGCTTGTTCTTGAGACTGCCTACCAGAGCATTTATCTATATATCTGCATGGTTTTCTCGTAGACAGGCTCTTAAAAAGAATTGATCACCTGCACAGATATCAAGGTGGATTTTACAAGACATCTCGCCACACCCGTATTTTTTTTAATGGATGGTATAAGTGAGAGATAACTTTGTTAGGCCCATGTGCCTTTGTACCACTCCAATGGTCTGGTCCTCGTTAAAGAGATCTTTGCTCCCTTCCATACACCCCAAAAGTGATTGACCATTCTTGACGAACAGTATTCCAGATTAAAAGTCCGTAAAACAATACAAATTGGGAGCAGTGCAAACACGGACCTCCAAAACATTGGAGGTGGGATCAGGCCAGGTGCCATGAAGGAGTGAGCATCCCCTGCAGACCGGTCACACCCGCCGTGTGCTCCTTGTCATGATCGGGAAAATAACGGAAAAATCCGTCGTCAATTCAGTGTATACACAATGGACTAAACATTAGTTTAGTGTTTACTCTTTAGAGCCTTCAGCTTAGGTGAGCTACAAACGATTAAGGCGTTGCAAATAACGTTTTAAATATATATGCGTGATGTTGTAAATTTAAAATATCCAAAATGTTACATTGTATGTTTGCTGTTTTTGGACATGCAACGTGTGGTTGTGCTGTTTTGTCAACCGTGAAATTTGAAGCAAATTGTGTTCTAGGCCAAAACCAAGCGATTTTGGAAAATAGGATACATATTGTTTCGTTCATAATTTCTTTACTTTACGGGTGGTCCAAACCACACACTTCAAATAAATTCCTTTTGATTTGCTCCATCAAGGGTATTTTGATGTATTTTCATTAAATAGTTCTGTGAAAATGATTACCAAATGAGATTGTTTTCCTTGATTGACATAAGAATCTTTCCCTCCTAATGAGAATGCCGGTGAATCTTCAGACTAAATACTCTAACAATTATGTCTTTCATTTTCAAAATCCTAGCTTTGGCAGGCCCCAAGTAACGGTTTCAAAAGTTGGGTACAAACTCTTCCCAAATCGGTTCCCCCAGCATTACTCGGGGCTTTGTTGTGGCATTATTTCCACCACCTCGGTAATCGTAACTTGCTTTTCCATCTGTATACCACCGAAATATGACTGAAATAATGCCGACTCGGTGTAAAACAGCAATATTCAATCAATCAATCCATCTGTATAATTTAATAATCAAGGAAAGTATAAATCGAAGAGTTTCAACAAGCTTATTCACACGAGGTACTGTGGACAATGAGCTCACTAAATGACCCCCCCCCCCTTCCGCCTCTCATATAAATATAATGGAAGGGTCCATGTTTTGCTATGGGAAACCCAAAATAAGTGTCGGATTAAAAACTTAAATATGAGATGCAGAAAGGTATAATAATATAAAGATTCTCCGAAAGTCTCATCAAATTTCATTTAGTGGTTTAAGAGGAGATGCGGATAAGAGATGGGTACCCAAAGCGTAACAGACAGACGAACGGACATCCCGATTACTATAAACCCTCCCACTTTTCAAGCGGGGGGGGGGGGGGGGGTTGTTATATTAAACTCCCACTGTGGGACATGGAGACCGGTCCTTCGGATGAGACCGTATTAACGCAGGTCCCGTGTCGCAGTAGGTGCTGGCACGAAAAAAAATCCCTCCCTCTTCAATGACCATCATGAGTGCCGAGGAAAGCCCTCCGCCGGCAAGTGGTGGTTTCTCCATTTAAGTGAAAATTTCACGAGAGAGTCCTTAAACACTGTTGTTAAAACCACTAATTGTTAATCCATTACTTTTACACTGAATTGACGACGGATTTTTACGCTATTTCCTGATCATGACAAGGAGCACACGGCGGGTGTGACCGGTTAGCAGGGATGCTCACTCCTCCATGGCACCTGATCCCACCTCTGATGTTTCGGAGGTCCGTGTTTGCTCTGCTCTTGTTTTGTATTGTTTTATGGACTTTGAGATTGAACACTGTTCGTTATCTCTATATCCTTCTCTCACCCAGTCTACAATAGATGAATTGTAAGCATTTCTCATTAATTTATGAATTGCACCTGTAATATTTTTTTACCCCCGCTTAAAAAGTTGGAGAGTATATAGTAATCGGGATGTCCGTCCGTTCGTCTGTTACGTTTGGGGTACCCATCTCTTATCCGCAACTCCTCTTATATGAATGAATGAAATTTGATGAGACTTTATAACATAATTACATAATGCCATTGTGTACCCCAATTTTACCATTTGATCCGACACATATTTTTGGGTTTCACGTAGTAAAACATGGACACTGCCATTATATTCTTACCTATGACTTGAGGTGTAACATCGTCGCAAACCACTGCCAAAATGTACGATCCTCTCCCATTCTGGAGAGAGCTATATGCGGACCCCGAACCGTGGCTTGAGACGATGGAGGTGTGATGGCTTTTTAATGATATAGAATACCATGAGTTATATTCCTCTTTACACGTTACCGTTAAACAATATAGAGAGGGCAAGAGATCTTCCAAAAGATAGATACATGTAACAAAGCTTGAGCTATTACTTTTTGATCTGACATATATTTTGGGTTCCCCATAGCAAATCATGGACACTACCATTATATTCATATGGGAGGCGGGGGGATCATTTAGTGAGCTCATTGCTCACATGGGGTATTATATAGTGCTCTCATTGCTCACAGTACCTTTTGTTTTCAAATAATTCGTGTCAGATTTGCTTTACACGTATTTGTGTGTCATATACTTAGCTTTGATTGGGGGGATTACATCAATTCACACCTTTATGTAGTATGATTTTCTATAGAACATGTCCAGAGCTAAAAGTATTAAGCATTTTTCATTAGGGTAAAGAGAGTCCTTAAAATTTGCTTCAATAATTAATTTTACTAGCACATACATTACCCATTGTACATATTTGACCATGCAGTCTTATTTTGACAGGAAAACAACTTTACATTGAGATTATTACAGAGCTGCTTAAATGTTAGATCGGATCCACCCTTTGTGCTGTGACGTTCTCCTGCATTAGAGTTTTTGGAAACTACACTTTGGCACAAAATTATGCTATTGTTAGCATAACAGTATTGAAGGTAATTTGGATTCATACCAGCACCATGGTGGACATCTCTTTGTTGTGAGGAAATGTTCTCAATTATATCGCTGTTTATGAAGCCTGGTGTAACAGTGTACTTGATATTATTGATTATGATATCTGAAAATTCTAGAAGTCCATGAAGAAGAAATTTTTCATATTGTTTTTTCTTATGTGACATAAAATGTTTTGCTGATCCATTTTCCCC